TAATAAATTAATTGATGGCCTTTATTAATATGCGCAGGCGTCGCGGCCATCAGGGCTCCGGTTCTTCCGGCTAACCAGATGTCACCAAATATTACAGAATGGCCGCCACTTGACGGCGCTCGCCCGCCGCTATCGTCGGGGTGTGGCGCGCCTCGCGCTCGTAAGAGCCGGCTTCCTGCACCGAGGCCTCGCCGCTCTCCCCTGCGAAACGCTCCGCCCGAAGAACGCGGACCGGTGGCGACGCGCGGTCGACGATAGATAAAAGAGCACCAAACAATGTGCAGCGTAAACGGTACACAAAAAGCAACGGATGAAATATACTGATCCGTGTAATTGTTAGGGGGTTTGGTATAGACAACTCCAGGTAACTCCCTCTGGGTTTCCGGACTCTCATTTGAACGTGTAATGGAGTGGTCGGGTATGATTGTTCATGACATCCTGTAATTTTTGGTGCAGTTATTCGCGTCCTGAGATTAGAACTTCACCGAGTAATACTCTTGATTTAACCCGTAATAGAGAATAATAAAGGATAACCTGGTGGACCTTGTTGACAAGAAACGAGTGTGGCAGGAATTAGCTCCAGGAACAAATGTGGCAAAAATTTTACGAATACAATGCATTTATTTCTCCAGAAACTAGTATGTATATATGTGAGTATTTGGTGTTTTGGATCGTTTGTCCTATTTTGTCGGCGAGCTAACGGAGTTCCCCACGCCTGGGCCTAGTTTTATTCCCACTCTGGGGGAAAAGAGACATGTGGAAACATGACGTATTCCCTTCACTGTAACTAGCAAACTCCGCCTGCCTGAGCGTTTCTTCTTCACAGAGCTACAGAAACAGATTTTAAAGTAAAGCTTCAACTATTTTTGCATCCACCGGGAATCGAACTCGAGTCCCCACCATAAGAACTGGTAAGCTGGCCCATCAGCCATTCTAGAGGCATGATTTCTAGTGTGATAGATTATAATTTTTTAAGTTAGTGGATAGCGTATTCTCCGCCCGAGACTACTAACAATCCGACACTTGATACTACCTTACAATTACTAGTCAGAACCTTTCAATATAAACCTTTCAATAGAGAAAGCTGTTTGAGAACAGTATTTCTTTATATGTAAATCATGTTGCTTATTTTTAGTTTTT